TTGAATTAAATATTCAACTAAACAAATTGTTTTGATTAAAATAAATTATTGTTGGGTTTTGGACCAAAATGAAATATGTTTTAATATCCAATATCACAATCTGGATAAATCTCATAAAGATAAATCCAATATGCTGACTTATTGTGTGATATTGGGAACCTGAGTACAGACCAAATCAAGAATAAATGAAGAAATTGTTATGATGTGAACCTTGAAATGATTTATTGAAATAAATCATGAGAATGAATGCTAAGAATTAAATGTAAGAACCTTTATGAATAAAAGTCAATTAAATCAATTTTGATTCTGTCAAAGCAAATACTCAAAAATATGATGTCGGAAAAATTATTACAAATAAATATACAAATTATATCGTTGGATAGAGTTAAACTGTCCGATCCCAACGGTGCAAACAGATTTCAACTCGGAGAAAATTGGACCAAAAATTGTTCCCTGACTAGAACCAAAATTGGTCCCAATCAGGGAAAAGTCGTAAGAATAATGAAGAAAGGAGAACAGGAAACCATTATTTTTTTTCTTCATCACAAGCACTATATAATCACACCTCAACCTTCTCGTTTCTTCACCAGTCTCTCTACTTCTTCTTTCATTATGTTCCTCTGAGTGTGGAGAATGCAATGGTGCTGCCAATTTGGTGTGAAGTCGCCGGAGCTAGCCACAAACATTGCCGGAACTTTCACTCGAAAATTTCCAAAACCTTTGATAAGTTTTGATGTAAGCTCGTAAATATATCTAGTGATTAGAATGTTCGTATAGATCGTTTCTACATTCATAAACGGTCGTTTGGTTGAGTTTTGTGTTTGGCATGTTTGAAGAACCAATGATTATAAACCATAAAGTTGTTAAAACTATGAATTAATGATACCAAACTATGAACCTTGGAAATTATTTCTACATAATTTAATTGAAGTTTGGTGACCAAAAATGAAGTTGGAAAAAAATTGCCGAACGAAGAAGAAGATGAAAAGTGAAATAAAAAATAGCATAGAGGATCGATCCAAGGGTCTGGATCGATCCCCTAAGAGTTTTTCTTCTAGTTTGGATCGATCCAAGGTGCTAGATCGATCCCCCGAAGTTTTGCTCCCAAAAGTTTTTCGAAAATGCTATTTTTGAGATCTAAAATCCTATTTTTGATACCAAACAATTATGATCAATATAAAGATGATTTTCACAATAAAAATGATGTTTTTGACTAATAAAATCTTATATGATCCATGACGGTAAGCTATGGTGTTAACATTCGATGCTAGACCGCTATTTGTTATTGAATATTGTGATGATTATTACTAATTGATGGTTATGATGATGATTATTGACTGATGATTATGATGATTAAACTTTGATGAATATTCTGATTAAAATGATAATTATGAATGATTAAATCATAATGAATATATTGATGATTGTGAAAATAATATGTATTGTTAGGGGTATCTTGAATAGCTCTAACATATATCCATATTAATGTTAATTTGAAGGATATCTAGAATAACTCTAAGATATACCCAAATGACCATTTTAGTTAATTAATTAACATTGATTTCAAAGGTATCTAGAATAACTCTAAGATATACCCATAGTGATGTTGATTTTAAAGGGTATCTAGAAGAACTTTAAGATATACCCATTTAAGTTAGGCCTTGCGGGTATGATGCCCGGTGGCCAGGGTTAAACCGTACTTTCGAGATCCAAATATCGTTTCTGCGGGAATTTTATACAGTATCATCTTCAACCTCGGGCCAAACTTTTAAAACATCATTTAAAGCTTCTAAACTTCATTTTAACTTTATAAAAATGGTCTCTATCATTCATAGACAATTTTTAAACAATTTATTTGAAGATTTAACAACAAAAACAAGTTTGGTGATTATGATTATAAAAACATTTATATTTTCAAATATATACGAATTAATATGTTCAAGGATCATTCCAGGCCCTCTAATATTATTTAAAATCATGGTACAACCTGGAAATCAACGAGAGATGAGACTCAACGAACGAATGGGAGTGAAAACAACATCGGAATCCATGAAATTCGTCATTCGCGTTGCAAGAATACCAGTGCTGGTATTTGGGTCATATCTCCTTCTTTATTCAAGGAAATCGTGAACTGTTTGAAGCTACAGATTCGTATGACACAAGGCTAACTTTTGTGAAGAGACCGGATTTAAATAACAAAGTTTAGAGGGTCATACGCTACCTAGAAGTGGACTGATTTGCACAGAGTTTTTCTTCAATTTCAACATTCTGGCGAAACTTCAATTCCGGCAACAACCATGGCAAACTCCGGTGACTTCGACGGTGGTGTTCATTTGCGGCATACTCTCTATACTCCATTAAAACTATAGGAAGAAGAATGAAGAAGATTGGTGGAGAAGTGGAGGAGGAACTGCATTCCCTATATAGGAAGAGAATGGGGAAGAAGCCACGGGATGTCTTCTTCAAAGCCTCATTCGGCGATCTTCAGCAACTTGTGCAATCCTGGGAGGTTTTACACGCCTCTCGGTGATTTTGACTAATTCTTTCTCAGTTGGGGTACATTTTTTGTTCCAACCCTTAATTTTGCGATCAAACAGTCAAGCTCGACGAAATGATATAATTTTCATATTTTTTCTGAAATTCTTTCTCTGATATCATATTTTTGGGTTTTTGACAATGATAGAGTCAAAATTGATTTAATTGACATATGTATAAAAATATATTCTCATTTCCAATTAATATTATTCAATATAATGATTTATTCCAATAAATCATTTTCCCAAAGTTTATCATTAATCACTTATTGATTTTATACATGTTATATTTTTAATATTTTAAACATATCATTACTCAAAGTCTATAAATAAGATTTGTTCATAAAACATATCGTTGGATTCGTCTCTTCGAGACATATGCATAAAACTCAATTTTAGCAAAAGGTCATTAACTCCAAAATTTTCCTTCATTTTCAGTCAAACATATAAATAAAACTTTCTTGGGTCAAAATACATTTCGGAAATTACTTTTATCATAAAATAACTTTTATATCATGTTTTTGGGCGTTTAACATGCACAAACATCAATACATGTGCATGCATAGACATTTAATATTTGTGCATTAATAGACATTATGTGTCTTTGTGTACATTTAGTTATACTACTAGTTACAAGGTGAAGTTCTCCAAGTATTTTTATTTTTTTTAAAGAAATCATCTTTAATAGAAATAAAATATACTCCCTCCGTCCGGAAATATTCTTCCCACTTTCCTTTTTGGTCCGTCCGGAAATATTCTTCTCATTTCCTTTTTTAGTATGCTTTTTAAAGATAAATTTCAATAATACCCTCCTATTTTATCACAAATCTACTTTTTTAATACTTTTTTAATAATAAAAGGAGATTTAAAAGTTTATAGTATGTGCATTTTTGAACATTTTGCATTTTTTTTACTATTCCTTAATAAGCGTGCCAAGTCAACACGGAAAGAATATTTCCGGACGGAGGGAGTATATATAAATTATCAAGATAAGAGTTCAATATTTTTATCTCAAAAATAGAAATTTACACAGTGAGAATGTTACACTGTATATAGATACTTCACAATACTTTTAGTGATGTGCGTGTGATTAACGTACCTCAAAATCTAGTGTTAGGAGAACCATTGGTGAATATGTTTAATTTTTAAGATTAAAGAAAATCTATCCAACTTATACAGAAAATGGGTTTGGGTCAAACCTCAAAACAGCCCGTAACAGATTTCAATAGGGAGTAATGTTTTAATGGTAGGAGATGGATGAAGTTTACCACGAGATTCCCAATTTGTGTAGATGAGTAATTACCTCAGCTCATTTATTACACAGATGTCAGAAGCACTAAACTCCCCACTGCTGTGGGCCACCACCCACCACCACCTGCCTTTGCCTTAACCTAACCATGGATTAATTCATCTATTGTACCAACCAGGGTTAATAATTTAACAAATTTAAAATAAAAAAATATTATCATCGGAACTGAAATTACGTAAAAATGGTTAAGAAGGACGACCACAAAAACCAGGACTTGTTTTTTTATTACTATATCTGTGTGTGGGTGTGTTAAAATGTTTGTCTAGTTTTGATTTGTTGTAGTTAAAAATAACTCGAAATAAACTAAATAAAAAATTAGGATTTGTTTTTTTATTGCTCTATTTTTTCCAAATTGTTTGAAAAGTTCACCATAAATTAGAGTAAACATAAAAAAAGTATCAAAATTTAAGTTACTTGTTTTTATTCTAAAAATGAAAATTTGCATTGTAGTAACGTTGCATTGTATATGACATTTCACAATACTTTTTGATAATGTATGCTCTTGATTGACACTCTAAATGCATTTTAACTCTTTTTAAAGAATAAAAACATAAAATCTTATTTTAGTATATTTTAAAATGTTTTACTTTTACGTTGGTCTTTTTTTAAAATATTTGTCTAGTTTTAATTTTTTGTAATTAAAATTTACAAAATATAACAAAAAACTAAATAAAATTGATAATAGATATTTATAACAAATTATTTCATCAAGCTTATCTTGTAAAATGTTTTCAAAGTATTGTTTTATGTAATTCACAAACCATATACCCTTGTTTCTAAAAAAATCAAAACTAGACTAATACTCATCTCCCATCTCCTTACCCATCATGTTTGATGAAAGAAGTATTCAATTTTTATATTAAAAATATTTTAAAATAAAAAACTTAATTACTCATCTCCCATCTCCTTACCCATCATCATCTTCCATTTTTTTAATATTACAAAACAAAATCCCAATTCTCAATTTTCATAATACCAATGCTTCTCTCTTCTTCTTCATCTTGTTCATCTCTTATCTCTTTTTCCATGAAATATTAACCTAAACTAATCAAATACTACGTATTCTTAAAAGCTTTGAAAAGTTTTTTATAATAAAAAAACAAGAAAAATAAAGAAAAAAAGCAGCTAGCTTATTAGCTAGGTGTTAATTAAGAGAGACCCTCTGTTTGATGTTTAGTAGAGAATGGATTTAAGCAGCAATCTTCCGGCCACGAACGCCGGCGGCTCCGCCGCCGTTAAGAGTGTGGAGGTTCAGGAGAAAGAAACGCCGCCGGCTGCTGGTCGGATCCCGGGGGTAGTAAAGCCGCTGTCTTTTAGCAGCAACGGCGTACTGAAGCGTCACAATTCGCTGCACCGCCACCATGCGGTGGTGGTTGTTTACAAGGAGTGTCTCAAGAACCACGCGGCCACTCTCGGCGGCCACGCCGTGGACGGTTGTGGGGAGTTCATGCCTTCCCCGACTTCAACTCCCGCCGACCCCACCTCCCTGAAATGCGCCGCCTGCGGGTGTCACCGGAATTTCCACCGCCGTGAGCCGGAAGAGCCCCTGCAGATGCAGAGCGCCGTCCCAGCTCTGGATTACCAGCCCCACCACCGCCACCACCCTCCTCCGCCGCCTCCTATGGACAACGACAGCCCGAATTCCCCATCTCCGCCGCCGATCTCCTCATCGTACTACCCGTCGGCCCCGCAGATGCTCCTCGCTCTCAGCACCGGCCTCTCCGCCGGGCACCCGACGGAGAACAACACCCCAATCTCCGGCGCNTTTCCACCGCCGTGAGCCGGAAGAGCCCCTGCAGATGCAGAGCGCCGTCCCAGCTCTGGATTACCAGCCCCACCACCGCCACCACCCTCCTCCGCCGCCTCCTATGGACAACGACAGCCCGAATTCCCCATCTCCGCCGCCGATCTCCTCATCGTACTACCCGTCGGCCCCGCAGATGCTCCTCGCTCTCAGCACCGGCCTCTCCGCCGGGCACCCGACGGAGAACAACACCCCAATCTCCGGCGCCCCCGCCCCCTCAAACCTCCCATCCGCTTTCCCCACAGCTTATCCGAAATCCAGAAAGCGGTTCAGAACGAAATTTACCCAAGATCAGAAAGATAGAATGCTGGAATTCGCCGCCGGAGTCGGGTGGAGGTTCCAGAAGCGAGACGAAGACGCGATCAACAATTTCTGCCGCGAAATTGGAGTAGAGAGAGGCGTTCTGAAAGTCTGGATGCACAACAACAAGAACACCGTCGGGAAGAGAGACGGCGGCTCCGCCGCCGCCGCAGCGAACGACAACGGCTTCGACATCCGCGGCATGAATTGTCACAATCTGGACTCGGGCCCACACTCCTCCCGATTCAATCTTCGTCAAGAAAGCAACAGTGACAGCCAGGACAATTACGGCCTCCACAACAGCGACGGCCACGGCGCCAATGGGTCGTCATCCTCGTCTTGACGGCCGCCGGCGAAATCCAGAGAACAATAAAAAAAGGGTCCTTTTTTTCTTTCTTTCTTCTCAGATCTTTCTTTTCCCTGTTCTAATTCAGCAGTTTGATGAGTTTGATGAAGAAGATGATGATGATGAGGGATATAATCTGCAGAGCATCGTTTCAGATGATCAATTTTAAAATTTGTTTATTTTTCACTCTCTCATCCTGACTTGTAAATTACCATAACTTTCTTATCAGCTCTCTCTTGAAATCATCTCAAATTCAAATCTTTCTTGTTTCTTGAGGCTATTCTGATCAGATTTGGTTAAGATTTTGGCTCAATTAAACACTTTCTGGGCATCCTTTCTTCAAGAAAGTATACATATTTCTCGGATCTTGGAAAAAACCATTCCTTAATCTTTATTCGAAACCGGATATAACAGTGCTTAAGAGTGTGGTTCTTCATTCTTAAATATGATCAAGTAAAGATTTTCCAAGTCATTTTTAGTAGTTTTATTAATAATTGCCATTAAAGTGGTTGCTTAAGGGTACTTAACGGTTCCTTAAAGGGTAATCAAATGCTAAATAGGGCAAGGTTAGGAAGTAGAAATGGTATTTAATTAAATAAATTTGGTTACAAATTAGTGAAGTGCTGGCCTAAAGTTAGACCAAATTGATGATGTACCAAAATCTGATAAGACCTTTTAAAAAATCATTTGGAGGGTGTATCATGTGGGTGGGGGGCTGTTTGGTGGGTGGGCACTGATTAAGAAAATGATTACTCCACACCCCCTCTTTTTTTTTATAAAAATAAAAAAAAGAGATTACTTAGTTAACTTTTCCTTTTAATGAAAAAATGTGTGGATTCCATTGGGAACAAGCACACATTGATAAGACTACCTTTTTTAATAACTTCATGAGTTTTAGTAAAAGAGTAACCGAAGTGGCATATGCACCCATCTGTTTTTTGCTCTTTTTGTTCCAAGATGAATGTGTATGGTTAATAGACACACACACACTATTTCTAACCATGTTAGGAAAAGAGTATATGGTAACAAATACTACCTCCGTCCCAGAGTATTTGTCCACTTTCATTTTTACACACCATCAAATACACTTTTTAAATCCATTTTATCTTGTAATTTGTATATTAAAAAATTATAGAAATTATATATTAATAATCTAAATGTTAAGACAAATTAAACAAGATCACACATGACTATATTTAGGCTTACACATTGAGAGAATTTGATGAGTCAAAGTGCTTAGATGAACAGTTCCAAAAGTCAAAACTAGACGAATACTCCGAGACGGAGGGAGTATGAGATGGAAAGTTAGAAGTATATCGAAACTAATAAAATTACGGAGTAGTTTCTAATATTTAAATATTTCATCTAATATACGCCTCAAGCAGAGTCGAGGAGAAGTGATAAGAAGCTTGGAACGAGGAGCTAAACATGTTGGAATGTCAACGGCTTTGTTAAAAAATCAGCTAACTAATCTTTTGAGAAGACATGTGTGGCCGCCATAGAGCCATCAATAATTCGCTCACAATCAAAGTAACAGTTGAAACCAACATGTTTCAAAAGATTAGTTAGCTGGAAAACTAAATATCTTGTGAGGCATATAACAAAGTTATCTACAATTTAAAGGATCAAACCTTTAATCTAAATTTTTCGATGTATACTCTGAATTAACACTTAGATAAGAGCAGACGATGATCCAATAAAAACAATATCATCAACATATAGCAGTTAAATGAGAGTTCCCTAGAAAGAATGCTTAATGAAAAGATTGGTATCATGAGTCATGGTAGTGAAACCCTGCGAGCAAGAACGGAGGAGAGGGGAAGGTACTAGGCCCTAGGTGACTGTTTAAGACCATACAAGGACTTTGACATATTTCAAACATACTGAGGATACTGTCGATCAATATAGCCAAGAGACTGATCTGAGTCATATAGGTAGTTTCCTCAAGTTCACCACGTAAGAAGAAATTAAAGATATCTAGCTGATTGAGGCTAGTTGTAATGCATGGATAAAGTAAGCACAACACGAATCATCTGTTGTTTGACAATCGGGTTGAAGGTTTATGAATAGTCAAGACCATACACCATATCATAGCCTTTTTAAAGAAAGCGAGCTTTATAGCGGGATACCAAACTATTTGAATTACGCTTTATATGGTAAACCCACTTGCACCCAATTGAATATTTATTAATCAAGAGGTGGAGAATTAGTACCCGTGTATTTTATCATTGTAATGCCTCAAACACATCATCCATAGACTGCCACTAATAAGTGAGAGGTGGCTAGGGATGGAGAAGAGTGATGAGTGTCTCAATAAGATGATGGTGTTTATGTTCCACCACCGCATATTATTTGCATGTGTAGGCAAAACTTTTTAATAAAGAAATCCAAGGCTTTGTAAAAAGAGGCCAAATTATCGATTCGAAAAAACTAAACATGTGGTACCAATTTGGTTTTGAACCATGAAAGCAAAACTTTGAAAAACCACAAACGCCACAGATTTTTGTTTTAAAGCGTATAACCAAAACAATTTTGTAAAATCATCAATTAAAAACATATAATAATGATAAGGAACAAAAGTAAAAATCCGAAACTTCAGAATAAATTAATTCTGAACATTTTTAATACTATGTAGATTGTAGTTTAATAAAAATTGCAAGCTTAAAAGAAACAAATTACTCCGTACACTGGAGTAAATAACAACCCAGTAAGGTATTAATTACTTCTATAGATAATTTTCAAACTTTTAGCAAAGATAAAATTCTAATAGTTACAAAGTAGCATAAAAGAAATGTTTAATTAACACGTAATATATACTCCCTCGGTCCCAATTTATTTGCAACACTTCGAACGACGTGCAAAATATCATCTCTTTTAAAATCACTTTAATTTCAAATTAATAGAGTAATAAAAAGTAAAAATTACACCATTCAAAAGTATATGAAAAGTTCTACAAAACAAGATGTGACAAAAATATTTTATTCTATCAAATGGTCAACCAAAATGAGTAAACAAACAAAAGTTATCGAGAGACCAGAATAGTAAACGTGGCATTCTTTCTGGGACGGAGGGAGTATTATAGCAATCTTTTCGCATGAAAACATCAAATTGAATGAAAACATCAAATTCAACAAATTTTGCAAAAAAAATATTCATAGTAAACATCCACACAAAATATAGAGCACTACTACTACACCAAGGTAAAAAGCATGGAGTACCAATTACTTATTATTAGAAATTATGTGTTTATCAAGTATGAAAAGTAAACATACTATCAGAACATCCTAGGCCCACCACTGGCACATCTGACCCTTGCTAAAAAGTTTGTAACATCATTGAATGAACGCGTACTTCAATGTTCATTAAAATTTTTGTCTGACATAAGAAAATTCAGTCACCTAAAATAACTAATCACACTAAAATCACCAACATAGTGTATTATTTCGTACCATACTAGAGTTTTTATGCTCGACGTTGTTGTAAAAGCTTTTCGGCAAGAGTGTGTTTGCCAAAGTGCATTTTTCTAACAAAAATATAGTGTAAGATGCAAAGCTGCAAACACTCAAAACATGTGAGTATCTCTGCTAAGAAAGATAATTAGGCGTGTGAGGGCATTGTTTCATGTGGTATACCTTACCTTTTAAGGGAGGTTGCCCCTAACTACAAGTCTTCAACAATTATTTAATGTGAAAAGTGAGGTTTAGGGCACATGCCCTGTCTGTGATTAACTAGGAATGGGTTTGGCTTTATTTAATGGTGACTGGTCATTTGTAAAAGTCATTAGTCATTGTTTTGTTAGTAGTTAGTATGAAGGACACATTGTTAGTTATCCCTTATGCCCTTAAAGTTTAAACCTATTCCCGTGATAAACCCAACAACCCAAGCGTGGGCCTGTCGGTATTGTTCTTTTGATTTTGGGTTAATCCCCATTTAGGGGTTCCAAATTGTGTGCCCTTAATCTCTAACCAAATTTTCAAAGAGCGAAAAGATGAAGTTCATACTTCATATTAAGGGTCTTCAAAATCGGTTTAAATAGTAGTATGAAAGAAGGTAAATTGAGTTTTAATCTTATATTGATTAGATTTTTCTTTGTTTTTCGTAATTTGTAATCAAAAGAGAGACGGAGAGAGTAATATCTATTTATTTAAAATAATACGTTGCTAGCTCTTAGGCCAATTTCTAGAGCATAACAAAAATATAAAAAGTGTACAGTTATTTTGAAGACTTGGCACTGAAAATACGTTTGAAGCCCCGGGGCTTCAAACCGCGGGGCTTCAAACTTTCTCTCTCTGCCACGTCAGCTTTAATTTACAACCAAAATTCACCGGAAATGGGTTTGAAGCCCCGGGGCTTCAAACTGGGGCTTCAAACCTTCATTTTTTACATTTTTAAATATACATCTTCTAAAATTAAACTAATAAAATGTAATTAATTTATTATTTAATTATATTGAAACATGAATAATAAAAAATACATTCATTAAATAAAAAAAAAGCGACAATAATAAAAAAAATACATTAATAAAAAAACTAAGGAAAATTATATTTCTCCTTGATCTCTTTTATTCTTTGCTCGTAGAGCATTCGTCCAATCTTCGACAACGTAGAAAGGTCGGTTTCCATGACTTTCATCTCGGCCTCCTGCTCCTTTAGCTTCAACTCCTTCTCCTTTAGTTTAAACTCTCTTGTTCTCGGAGATTGAACGCCCGAAGTTGTTCAACCATTTCCCGGCCGATTTCGTCGCGGGAAGAAGCGGAAACAGAGCCGGACCCTCCCGAACCCGAGGCAATGGATTTTGCCTTCTTTCTTCCGATCGGCCGTGGAATGGGGTCCTCGTCATCGGAATCCGCAACATTGAAGGGAGGGATTTGATCGGTCGAACCGATAGTCTCGTCGACCTCAACCTCGGTGTCGACGGAGGATCTTTTTCGGAACGATCCGCCGTCGGGATTGTTGAGTTGTTGCCACTTCGGGGAACGGCTCAAAATCCTCCAAAGATCGATGGGCACCTTGCCTTGGTGCCCGTCGTCTTGATACCGGGCCGTGGCAAGCCGGAGAACATCGGCGTCGTTCGTCCCGCTCCTCCAGGACCGGGAGCATTCCTCGTAAACTCCGATAAACTTTCGGACTTTACGGTTGATGTGGCTCCATTTGGAAGTGAGTTGGTCCCGGGTTTGGTAGGTGCCGTCCTTGTTCATCGTCGTGAAGAACTTCTCCTCGATACGATCCTACATCGCATCCTTCGTTTGCTCCGAACCTTTAAAAATATATAACACAATTTTTTTTAGACACGATTAAATATAATATATATAAATAAAAACATAAATATATTAGAAAAAATAAATTTTTTACCAATGATAGGATGCTCGGAGACGTCAACCCAAGCCGACGCCAATAAGCACTCCTCCTCCGGCGTCCACTTTTGGATTGACTGTGCCGCCTCGGTCATCGTGTCTTTGGCTTTGTGGCTTTTCTGGCGTGTACTTTTTTTCGACCCGGTCGGTTCCGGTTGAGTCTCCGGAACCGAATCTCGGTCGACGTACCCCGATTATTGCGTCTCGTAGATCGGCGTTCGATTGCCCCACTCTTGGTAAAACCACATCGCGGCGTCGCTTGGCGGGAGATCGTTGGGAAAGAAGCCGGAGCCGGAAGGATATATGTTGAAAAGAGAGGGGGTGATTTCGAAATTTAAAATATGGGAAGAAAAAGATTGAAGAAGAGTGAAGAAGGAAGGTGTGAGAGATTGGGAGGGAAGGTTTGAATTTATAAGAAATTTTTTTTTGAGTCCAACGGCTATTAGAGCCGTTAAAGGGGGGAGGGGAAGAGAATGCCGAAGCGTCATTCCTTTGACGCAGGGCATGTGACGCCCGGGTAAAGTCGCCGGGGTGGTGTTTAACGCCCCCGGGGCGTTAAAACACCCCTAACGCCGGTCAGCGTTACATGTATACCCAGTGCTCTAAGTGAAGAACATGTGTGTGTATTAAATTTTTTTAACGTTTCCCTATTTAAAATAAATTTAGTTAACCATTCTTATACAATTGGAGCAAGTCTTTGTGGGATGGAGGGATTATTAGAAAGAAAATACAAAAATGAACTATTTGTAAAAGAAAATATGAAGGAAAAAATAAAAATTTATCTTACTAAATTATATAGAGAAATTATATAGAGAAACTTAGAAAGAAAATTAATAATTCTAAGTTTTTAAGAGGAGAGAAAAAAGATTTTATCATTGCGGAACCGAGAGAGAGAAATTGCGGGGCCGAAATGAAAAAACAGAGATTTCATAATTGCAGTTTCAAGAACCGAGAGAGAGAAATTGCGGGGCAGAAATGGGAAAAAGTTGAAAATATTTTATTGCGGTGAGCGTGGATCGTACACGCGGCCTTCAGATCTTCAGTCTGACGCTCTCCCAACTGAGCTATCCCCGCATCTCTGATACTTCTTTAAACTACATGTTAATTAAATGCTAAACAAAAAACACTGCGTGTTACTCCGCATTAACCGAATCTTATTGTATCTTCACCTAAATTAATCATAACTTATTTGTAATGGTTTTGTTCTAATCACATGCAACAAATTGTTTTTAAAAACAATTGTTTATAAATTATTAAGCACGTAGGTTCTGTTCTTTTAACTAGATAAAATTACTACGTATCTTTTAACTCTTCCAGTTTCTTTAACGTACTTCTTCTAATTCCTTCCAACTTCTTTCAATTTCTTCAAACAACAACTTAAAAGAACAATGTCGTAATCCTTAAATTAAATCGATATTGATGTAAATTAGCTATTAGCAAAATGATATTCTAAAAAATATTTAAATATAAAATTAATTTAACATAAATAAAATCATTTTAAGATGTACTCCATAGTTTTGAAAGAGTATTTTTAATAAGGATGGAAGAGTAGAAGGTATACTTCATATATTTCTTATTTCATTATCTTTCTATTCTATATTAGCGTCACATCTAATTTTATATTTTTATTACTATAAGTTAGTGTGTACGTTTTCCAATTGATAATCATTTTTCTATATGATTAGCTTGCAACTTTTATGAGTAACATAAATTAATTTTAGAGTATACACACTAATGTAAAAATTACTACATTCCCTTCTTTAGCGGGAGACCCGGAGGGTTTAGTCGACCCAGGATTATGCTACTCCTATAAGATACTCCGTATTTTTGTCTAAGTTAGTCACATAGACACGTGGCTTGGGTGTCAAAGTGGTATTCTTAGGAAGAAAGACTAGTCTTCTTATTATGTCTATAAAAATATCCCTCTCCACATGCTCTCCATCATGTGGAGAGGAGATCGAACACTCGATTCATCAATCACTTGCCCAGATTTAATTTTCTCTCTCCAAACATTTTCTCTACATATACGGGGTGACCCCTCACCTTGGGTCGGAGAAATTTGACTATAGGCACGTCTTGAGATCTAGATCTATGATGATTAGATAGTCATTTGGACTAGGGGATACTACCTCCGTCCCGCTATATTCGTCCACTTTTGCCTTTTAAAACTGTTCATCTAAGCACTTTGACTCGTCAAATTCTCTCAATGTATAAGCTAAATATAGTCATGTGTGATCTTGTTTGATTTGTCTTAACATATAGATTATTTATATATAATTTCTATAATTTTTTAATATACAAATTACAAGATAAAATGAATTAAAGAAGTGTATTGGATGTCGTGTAAAAATGAAAGTGGACAAATACTCTGGGACGGAGGGAGTAATATTTTATTTTATGGGTGTGAGTCATCTATGTTTTTTGTCAATTGGTTTGTAGTGTTAAGGGCTGTTTGGCAACTTCTAAATCGGTAAGTGATGAACCAGTAAGAGGTCTGAACCATTAAGTGCTGAACCAGTAAGAGGTCTGAACCATTAAGAGCTAGTATATTGCTTAACTATTCAGAGGCAAATGTCTGATCAATTCAAATAAGAGGTCTTAACCATTCAGAGTCTGTATAATACTTAACTATTCAGAGGCAAATCTCTTAACCATTCAGACATCTGAACCATTAAGAGGTTGAAACAAACAGTCTGAACCATTAAGTGCTGAACCATTCAGACATCTGAACCATTAAGAGGATGAAACAAACAGCCCCTTAGTGTTTCCTAGCTCATTGCAATATTCTTATCCGATCCCTTGTTTTTATTATGTTTTGTTATGCTATTTGCTCTGTGTTGCTTGATTTGGAGGTCTTTTAAAAATAATTATTCTACTTTTAAGTTGGAATAAGGTCTACGTAAACACATTCCTTATAGACACAATTTTTTTGGAATCCTACTAAGTTGTTATTGATGTTATTCAATATATACTCCTTATTTCCCATCAAAAAATACTAACTTATTTATCTCAGTAAAACAAATTTGGAATTTAATTTTTGATTGTCTTGTTTCTCAGTATTTGTCTATCATTAACATTTTCATTTAAATTATTTTTAACATTTGACCTTTAATTAAATAAAAACTAGATGGTATATTCTTTAAATAAAATGATATTTTAAAAATGTTTTATAATTAAATCCACTAAAAATGTTTTATTATTAATTTCTAATATTATTTTTATATAACTCATGGTCAAAATTTGTTAATTTTGATTGAAAAAAGTCATAACTAAACAAATACACGGAGGTAATAAATCTTTCATTGTGTCGTGTGATTCTTGGTTTTAATGGATTAGCGAAATAATACATAGGACAATTAGTACTTGATAATCACTAGGAAACACAGCTGGAGTAGCTCAGTTGGTTAGAGCGTGTGGCTGTTAACCACAAGGTCGAAGGTTCAACCCCTTCCTCTAGCGTTACCTATAATAATTTTATATACTCTTTGCTAGGTAATTATATTCTTCTTTTTTTTTTTAAAGACAACTAGGCAAGTAATAATAATAATAAATGTATTTTTAGTTTTTTAAACTCGGAATATTAAACATTTAGGGTCCCCTCTGATATTGGGCCCTAGGCAGTAATTTTTTTTACAATTATATATATATATATATATATATGTATGTATGTATGTATGTGATACGAATATCGTATCGGGTAGGGAAGAACTTCGAGCGTTCTCCAAGCTCCAAGAAGAAGAGGAAGAGAATGATGGAAAACTTCGAGCGTTTTCGAACTCCAAGAGAATAGAGAAGGAGATTAAAGTTTTGATATTTCTTTATTGATTCCAGAATAACGTGAAAGGATTACAATATATAGAGTAATACGGTAACACGAAATGACCTAATGGGCTCGGGCCCATACTAAAGTAACTAAACCCTAAACTAGATTAAATATAAGATATTAATAAAGACTACTAATTAATAAATAATATGACTAATATACTATCATATCATTCTCGCCCCCTTAAAAACCATCTTGTCCTCAAGGTGGAGGTTCCCACTCAAGTTTTTGGACATGTGAGAACGTGTTGAACCAGAACAGATGTCCAGTTGTAGACCAATCTTCAAGGAGCTTCTCAGATGAAGTAAAGCGGTAGAAATATAAGAGTATACCAAACTTGCCTTGAACTATTTTCTTTGAACCCCGGTGCTCATACGGGACAACATCGACTAGCTCAAATAATTTGATGGTGTCAATCAAAATAGGTGAGCATGCTTGCTTAGCATCTCCATCTGCCACTTTTTCAACACTTTTTGGAACATCATCCTTTGCAATGACTACTCCAGCTGAGGTATAAAATTCCTGAAAAGTAGAATCTGACTTGTCGACATTAGCAACATCTTCTACAAGAGGACCTTCATTTTTTCCCACAATGTTGGACCCCCCGTCATCTTTGTTTATTGCTTCGGGCCCGGTGTCCACTTCATCTCCAACTTGTGAGTCAACACTTGATTCCTCCTTGGATGCTTGACCATATGCTTCAATGTGTTGCTCAAGTACTGTAGAGACCAGATTTGGCGCAGAAGGCGGAGTATCAATGAGAATTTTCATAGCGCCCAACATGTGTGTTCTAAAATTTTGTTACTCCGAAGGAATCAAACTTGTCAAAATTGGGGGACCAAGAACTAAATCCTGTACCGAGCAAAACAATTCTACGTCGAGCACATCATAATCAATTTGCACTTTAAAATTATGGATCGACCTGAGCTTCATACTGATCTCATAGACATGATCAAAAATCATACATACTCCTTCATCATGCTCAATTTCGCCATAAAGAACCTTTTCTAACAAGTCAAGAAGTTTGTCCAATGCATAATTCATCGTCACGATAATATCGTCAAAAACCAACGCCATAGTTATGGAAAATAAACAGATTTGCAACCTGGGTGACAGACAAATCGGAGCCGGAATAGGGTTTGCGGCTGGGTGGCTAATCCTGGAATAGATGACAACAATAATTGGCCGAACAAGTGCTCCTGCGGCAATTGAACCAAAGGATCTGCAACTTTTTTTCTTCTTTTGGAAATAGTGATCCTATGGATAAATTTTGGCTACTTTGTTTGTTCACAACCAAATTACAACGGCTGTGGCAAATCTCGTGCACCTACAACGGTGATGGCACAAATTTGTGGCTTTGTCGTTGGAGCTGAGATTCCTCTTCAANTTTTTTTTTTTTGGTTTTTTTAGGGTGAGTCTCTCAATGAAAGCACCAATTGATATGAATATCGTATCGGGTAGGGAAGAACTTCGAGCGTTCTCCAAGCTCCAAGAAGAAGAGGAAGAGAATGATGGAAAACTTCGAGCGTTTCCGAACTCCAAGAGAATAGAGAAGGAGATTAAAGTTTTGATATTTCTTTATTGATTCCAGAATAACGGGAAAGGATTACAATATATAGAGTAATACGGTAACACGAAATGACCTAATGGGCTCGGGCCCATACTAAAGTAACTAAACCCTAAACTAGATTAAATATAAGATATTAATAAAGACTACTAATTAATAAATAATATGACTAATATACTATCATATCAGTATGTATGTATGTATGTACGTGTATATGTATATGTATGTGTGTGTGTTTAGCGTTAACTATAATAATTTTACATACTCTTTGCTAGGTAATTATATTCTTCTTTTTTTCTAAAGACAACTAGGCAAGTAATAATAATAATAAATGTATTTTTAGTTTTTTAAACTCGGAATATTAAACATTTAGGGTCCCCTCTGATATTGGGCCCTAGGCAGTAATTTTTTTTACAATTTTATATATATATATATGTATGTATGTATGTATGTATGTATGTATGTATGTATGTATGTATGTATGTATGTATGTATGTACGTACGTGTATATGTATATGTGTGTGTGTGTCTAGCGTTAACTATAATAATTTTACATACTCTTTGCTAGGTAATTATATTCTTCTTTTTTTTTAAAGACAACTAGGCAAGTAATAATAATAATAAATGTATTTTTAGTTTTTTAAACTCGGAATATTAAACATTTAGGGTCCCCTCTGATATTGGGCCCTAGGCAGTAATTTTTTTTTACAATTATATATATATATATATATATATATATATATATATATATATATATATATATATATATATATATAATTTTCAAAAAGACAACAAAGCAAGTAAACGGATTTTGTAACATAATTTGGGAGGGAGTATAAAATATAGAAACTTTAAAACACTTACATAGATGAGTTCTTTTTTATTTGAATTTAGTTTTCTCACTTTTAATTAGATGCTCCTTTTTAATATTGTAGTGGTTTAATTATTTTTGTTGACTTATTTAGATATTTATTTTGCATAAGACTAAATATAGTACGTTACTGCTCTCACACCAAATGTGTAACCATTTCAACATCACACCATCGCAGACTATACTCACTTAACATACGTAATACCACACTTGGGCTTAGACCTACACAAACACAGATTTAGGGGGGTCCAATTGACGGTAATTTTTTATCCCGATTTCTATCAAGCCTGCCGGTAGATCTCGGCTAAAAATCACGCCCTTATCCATCCAGGAAGGTAATCAAAACGGGTTACATGGCGAACCGGCCCCGAACTATCACTCTTTTCCTAAAAGCAGTGGAATTATTTTCCCGCCCAATGCACTCATCTCCTGCACCGTTGATATTAAGGAACAAACAAGATCTACGACTATGATTGGTTGTATAATATTACCTATTTAGAATGATAAATTAAAGGAAATTTTGTATGCATAATCACTCTATTCTGATAAAAAAGGAAGGGAGTAATTTGTTTCCTAACCAATTTCGCCTAATTATTTGATTGTGATAAAAAAGGAAGGGACGGTGCAGGAGATTATTTATATTTTGTTTCCTTTTTAAATAGGTAATTATATACGCCTAATTATTACTATTATTATTATAATAACTTGAAATAATTTACGCCTGATTATTTTATCAAAAAGTAATTATTTATGCCTAATTAAATAGGTAATTATTTACTTAATCACTCTATTCTTTAAAGGAAATACTTTTAAGAATAATAATATTAATATATCGTGTAATAATATTTCTGTATTTAATCATTATTAATTTATTAGCATGTAAGAAGAATGATAATAATATACTGTGTAATAAAATTACCGTACTTAGTCATTATTATCGTCTAATAATTCTAATCTAAGAAGCTTTCAATTTAAAAATGTTTCCATTTAGAGAACATGGCCAAACTTAATATTACCATATTTAATAATTATTACTATATTACGGTGTGATTATGTTAAGAAAATAAGCTTTCAATTTAATTATGTTTCCATTTAGAGATTCGGTGCCAAATATTTTATGAAGAAATTTAAATTTATAAGTTTATGCATTTAAGGAAGACACAATTAAAAAAATCAAACTAAAAAATAATAAAAGAAATTAAATATAAAAAATTTCAAAGTAATACATAGAAATGATGGCACATATGCTAAGTGTTGAATATATAAATAATAATTAAATCATAAAGTACTTTGTAGCAAGAATAAATCATGTATTACCGTGTAGAAAAAATAATAATACTAATATACCGTGCAATAATATTAATATATTTAATCATTATTAATTTATTGTCATGAAAGAATAATAATAATAATAATAATAATAATAATAATAATAATAATAATAATAATAATAATAATATACCGTTTAATAATATTTTCGTACTTAGTTATTATTATCGTGTAATAATTCTAACCAAATAAGTTTTCAATTTAATAATATTTCCATTTAGAGATCCAGGCCCAAACATTTTATGGAGACATCGTTTTAAGAGGTGTGCCTTTAATACATGGAAACGTATTGAATAATATATACTACCTCCGTCCCGCTATATTTGTCCACTTTTGACTTTTGGAACTGTTCATCTAAGCACTTTGACTCATAAAATTCTCTCAATGTGTAAGCCTAAATATAGTCATGTGTGATCTTGTTTGATTTGTCTTAACATATAGATTATTAATATATAATTTCTATAATTTTTTAATATACAAATTACAAGATAAAATGGATTAAAGAAGTGCATTGGATGGTGTGTAAATATGAAAGTGGACAAATACTCTGGGACGGAGGGAGTACCTTTATATGTTGAACAATCAACCACTAATTAATAACTTACCCAGAAAAAATTAGATGCATGGAAATAGAAAAATACTTTAATTTTTTCATACTTTAAATATAGTCATTCTCAATCACTTTTCGTAATTAGCTTCTTTCAAATTTTTTGAATGACTTACACTCTCTTGAGTTCTTAAATAAGATTCATGCTTTCACAGTAGAAAATCATGAAGAAGTTTTTAAATAAATAAATGTTTTAAAAGTTTGATATATAAAAATTATACGAGTAATGTAGTTTATAAAGAAGTCTTTTGTTATTAATTTGTAAAACAATTAACTTTTGTACCTTAAAATAATAAAATCTTTATATTCTACTCTCTCCGTCCCGAAAGAAATTCCCTTATTGACTTTTTGGAAAATTAAGAGAGAGATATTTTGGTGTTGACTTTCCAAAAATACCCTTGATGTGATTGTTAAGTAAGATGTGATAGATAGATTATTAGTAAAAAGGTATGATGTGATAGATATGGTATGAAAAAGTAAGGGGTAAAATTAGTTTTTTAATAAAAAAAGGAAGGAGTTTGTGGGACAAAGAAAAAATGAAAGGAGAAGATGTTTCAGGGACGGAGGCAGTATTAGATAAGAAATTGTATCCTTCAAAAATGATCTTAATTTAGTAATATAAGTATGACCCGTGCAACGCACGGGAGTGATGCTAGTTTTAAGTATATAAATATTTTATTTATTCTCCATCCGTCCGGAAATGATGTTCTCTTTGTACATTTTTTTCATATGGAAATGATATTCACATTCTACTTTTTAATCTCAAGTCTCCCTAAAATACCCCTCTCGTTTAACATTCTCACATTCACTCTTCCTATCTACCCAGCCCCCCAATGGAATGCATTCTCACATTCACTCACGCCTCTTTAGATCTAACTTCATATACGTTCTACCTGTCGCTCCTTCTTTTTTCCAAAACCCTATATTCCTCCCCTTCTTCTCCAAGATCTGTACATCTCTCCCGCATTTCATGGAATCACATGACTTTCTTTACGATTCTTGTATTCCTGAGACGGAGTTTCAAGATGGTGGAGGTGAGGATTGTGAGGTGATTGGCGAAACATTCATCTCTGACGCCAAGGAAGAGGACGAGGCCATCGTCATCCACAACGACGACGTGATGCCGATGTTGCCCAAAATGGTAATCGACCTTGAAGCTGAGGAAGATTGTGTTATTCTTATTGGGAGCGATGAGGATGGCAGTTATGATGCAGATACTAACAGTGATGATATGGAGGGGTCTGAAACTATTGAGAATCAGATTTCTCCATGAATGAACTCAAGCATGCACCTCCATATCGATATGTTGAACATATTAATTCCCATCCCAGATTCAAAATTTTGGGCTTCAAAGTACAAGTATAGAAGTTACTTTCCTTTCACTATAAATCTGTTTGATTTTATTGTGCAATGAATTATGAACCTTTGATTGTGTTAACCAGAGTATGTGTGTATGTGCATGTTATAAAATGACGCCTTTATGATCTTAATTGCCCAGATTCAATGATGATTGTGTTAAGTGTGTATTGTGATGAGAATTTTGTAATTGTGAAATGCCTCTGAGTACCAAACCATACACACATCTATGGTCTTTCTAAAACTTTGATTGTTCGGTGTGTATTTGTGCATGTTTCCTGCCTTTGACTCTAAGATATTTCCTGGCCAACTTCTATGATGGCTGCTAATTGCATTGCTTGAGAAGAAGAAAGTACTATGATGAGCTTTTTGAAGTTCTGAAACGGATATGAGTGCCAAAGCATATACACCTTAATGGTCTCACTGTACCATTGATTGTCAATGTGTATGTGTGCATGCATTCCATCTTTGGTCACTTTCTGTGAAGAGTGAAAATTGCATTTTCTGAGAAAAATATGTACTGTGATGAGCATTTTCTAATTATGGAATGACTTTGAGTGCCCAACGTCTCAAAATCAGCAATGGTAATGTGAGAAAGGGCTTATGAAAATCATATGTTGGCTGTTGTTTTTTATAAACAAAGTTGCATATAGAGCAGATAGTGTGTAGTTACCTTGATGTGAGTACATATATGGCAGTGTATTACCAAGTGCAGAAACGAAAAACCATTCTGCCCAATGTGGCTACCACTTAGAAAAAAATACCCAAAAACTAAATGTGGTAACCACTTACAAAAAAACCAAAAAACAAGCATGCTTACAACCTTGGATTCATTTCAGCTCTAAAGATAGGTACTCCTCTCCCTCTTCGGTGTTGAACTGAACCATGTTTGTATTGGTAGTCCTATTTTGGTATTCATGTAGTGTAGCTATCTTCTGGATTAAGTCTAGGTATATTCTCAAACAGTTATGAAGTGTCCCTGCCCTATATCTTTCCCCATATGTGGTAGTTTTTAGTTGTTGCCTCCTTGATGTTCCATGGCTTTAGTTAATACCTGCTGGTAACTCAACCACACCTTGTTTAGGGTTTCATGAGTTAGAGCATTATAAGCTCTTTCCACTATCTCTAACAATTCAGCCATTGTTATAGGAGCACAATGCTCTTTTAAAGACTGAACTACTCTGAAAAATTCAAGGTCCAACACATTTTAGTTTTCGGAGTTGGGGGTTGGTTACCTAGAGTGATGTGAAATCCACTGGTGTTACCTACTGCCACAAAATCTGAGTATATTCCTTGAATGTGTGGCCTTGCACTATCTTGCTGAATGTGTATTCTTTTTAGATAACTGTGATGACCAATTTTCTTGATAGCTGGAATGACTTCATTGATTATCATATCTTTTGTGATTTGTTTAGTAACATTGGTGATTAGTTACACCTCCACCACCCTTTTTTCCATGTTCTTGCTCTTCTTTTTAGCTTTTAGTTTTTCTATGAAATGAAATATCTCTACTTTCCCATCCCACAATACTTCTCCATTCTCCCCAAAAAATAGTCTCTCAACCACACATAAGAACATGACTTTAGTTATGAACCTTTTTGATTTACATGCTCTGTATGGGTCTACTTCATTTTAAAGAAGGTAAAATCTTTTGGAAGTTTTAGACATAAAGAATCATTTCTCATAAATGTGTAAAACATTGTTAAAACTCTTAACTTAGGGATGCTGACCATGCTGTAAGGATCTACCTGATCTAAACAGAACCTCTACCTTGAAATCTTATTAGCATATGTTAGGTATAGTTTAATAGCATTAGAATGGCTCTTAAGCATACCTCCTTTTAATAACTCATGAGCTGTTGACTTAGACTTTTCAATGGTTGCTGCTAATGCTCTCAAACTAGTCATTTTCCTCAGGGGAGTGTGTGCAACTGCTTTTAAATCCATGACAGCCCTCCTCCTTCCACTGTTTCATGCAATCCTACTTCTCACATCAATGGCAATCCCCTACTCTAAGTATTTTTTTGCAATGGCCCATATGTTGCTGACTATTTTTCTACAGACATTAAACTGTGAAGCAAGTTTATTGATGTGCCCATACTGAGGTGAAAATGAACCATCTGGATTTCATTCTAAATGTGTTAGTAGTGTATCACTAATCAATTGCCTTGTTGTGTTGTCCAAGTTCTTCGTGTTCATGTCATAGTTTGCTAAACTTTATATATGCAGGGCACCAGAATATGGAGATAAAAAAGGAAAACGAAGAAGGAAATGAAGACGGGAATGAAGATGAAGAAGAGGAGAAGACTTGAATGAAGAAAGCTGCTGCTGAAAAAGGAAAGGGCTAATGCTTTTTAAGGTGGTGTAATAACCCTTTTGAATGGGTTTTAGATGTTGTTTTGGGCAGGTGATTAAAAGACTAAGAGGAAATATGATTAATTTTTTTTTTTTGGGGATTTTTGGTATGGGCGTGATTTGATGTAAGAAACTCATACCTCCCCTTATGGTTATAAACAGTTTTTCCCCTTTATATTATTTCGGCCAACTGGTAACCCCCTTCCCAAATTACTTAAACAAGTGTATTTTGATCATTTTATAGCTTTAGTCAAGCCCTCTTTAAAATGAGAAAAGCCAAACCGGGAACATCATTCCCGAACGGAGGAGAGATTCCCCATTTTTTGACTTTGGGATTGATAGAATCTAGCAAATTAGCTCTTTAAACTATATGTGAAGTACTCCCTCCGTCCTCCTGTATTTGTCCACATTTGATTTTTGGAACTGCTCATCTAAGCACTTTGACTCATCAAATTCTCTCAATGTGTAAGCCTAAATATAATCATGTGTGATCTTGTTTGATTTGTCTTAACATATAGATTATTAATATATAATTTTTATAATTTTTTAATATACAAATTATAAGATAAAATGGATTAAAGAAGTGCATTGGATGGTGTGCAAAAATGAAAGTGGACAAATACAGGGGGGTGGAGGGAGTAATAGTTAGTCAATCCAATTTTCAACGCTCATCATATCTCATTTGGAAACACTCATTTTATGTTTTAAATCCGACCCGCTTACCCCACAATGGGCCGGAGTCATTAAGGCACTGAGGTAATGTTGTTATTGTTGTATAGTATATAAAATATTTGTATCTAATATTTTTTTATATTAAAATCAATATAATATAATTGTTACACCATACAACATTATAGAATTTTAAGGAATAAAATATGATTGTTAAGGTAAGGAGTCTCATCTTCCTTCCACCTTGCAGACCAGAGGTGACTTGTGCAGAATAAGAAACTGGTTGTTAATTACATACATGCAGTACCACTTTTTTATATAACAACAACCAGATGTGCATCCTAAATGCTTCATCAGAAATGGCCAAATGGGTCTGAATTGAGAGGTCTGCATATAAAACAACAACCAACAAATGAATGATTCAAGAAATTCATTCAAAACATCAGATCAGTTTTTCAGGGAAACACAGCCCAGATGAAATAGAATGGGATGCAGAAGGATATAGAAGTGAAAGGTTATTCTGGTCAAGCCAGGTAATGATACAACTTCCTATCTGTTTTATCCCTTTCCAAAAACTCCCGCTCGATCAGAGACTCGATCCGTTTCTTTATCACCACCGGATTTGGAAGGAACCGCAACTGCAACTGCTTCGTCACTTCTGCAACGACATTGTTATGATCCAACACCCGGCGCGACTTCATGATCCTAACTATTGCCGCCTCTATCTGCGGTTTCCTGTCCTCCTCCACCCTCTGTCTCGTCTCCTGTTTCTCTGGTTCAGATTCCTTCTGTGCAACGACGGTACCTATTTTGACCTTGAAGAATTTGCTGGTGAATTTGTCGTTGAAGTAAAAGAAATCGTCTTCGGCAATGTCTTTACTCATGGGCTCCTTGCGCAGAACGTTCTTCCCCTTCACACAAGCAAGGGACTGCAAACACCTCTTAAGATCTGAGGTGGGAATCTCTGTTGCCTGTTCGATGTCTTTATAGCTCAACATATCAGAGTTGTTGAAGAGCATTAGGATGCACATCTGGTAGGTGGAAACATTAAGCTCGTGCTTCTGTCCTTTCCCAAACGTGGCCTTCAAGTCGGCCGTGCCCATGTTCGTCTGCCATGTCAGCCTCCGGCCAGTGTGGGTCCCCAGGTAGTACGACTTGAACTTTTCACACACCCCAAGAATCTCGGAGGGGAGGTTGCACGGGGTAACAGATTGTGTGGGCCAGGATCCGGTGGTGAGGACCTGAACAGCTAGTGTGGGATAATCGGCTAGTTCGGGGCCCACAGCTGAATGGAACTCTTGCATGGTGTCCTGCGAAGTCTTCATGTCCGTAAACATACCTTCCAATTTTGAGGTGAACTGATACCCACACTCTGTTTTAAGCTTAACTATTAAACTTCTCTCTGCATCGTCAGAGACGGTCTTCCCAGAAAGGAGCCGTTTTGCTAGATGCTGTTTGTAGTACTTCTCAAACACGTCTTTCTCCTGAAGGTACCGGAAAAGCATCATAACTTTGTCCAATAGAATCTCCACGTCCTCTTCGCTAACCCCTTTCAACCCTTTCCTCAGATTGTCATCCACGAACAAAGAGATAAACTCGGGAGACCGAGGATTCAAATTGATAAAATACTCAAACGATGAGTTTAGGGCATTCTGGAACATCTTATCATTGTTAAACGCCTTGCTAATAATCTTGTCGTGTTTATCCTTCTCATCCAATAGCCTCTGAACAAAGTCAACAGGATCCTTTGACTTCTCTGGATCGGTGACGAGTTGCTTGCCGACTTCTCGGATGTGAGCAGTCATTACGTCTTTTAGTAAAGAGAGCCCGTTTGACACCCTTTTGAACAGATTGTACATCCTTCCCAAATCATCATACTTATCATCTACAATCAAATTCACTAATCCTGAGTTTTCCATGTGGACTAGTCTGTGCATATGACTTTCAACCATCTCCCTCTCCACAACAGCAGTAATTTTTGCCTCACTTCCTGGATCCAAGTAATGAGAAACCCTTTCGATCTCTTCATTGAGCCGTTTCTCGGCCTTCTTCAAATATTGTCCACAATCACACGACTCAATGAACTGCTGAGACTCAACTCGGTAAAAGTTGGCCGAGACTTCAAGGAAAGGAATCTCAAAATTTAGTTCATAAACTGAAATATCTAAATCAGTCAGCATTTTGGTAATGTTCCTCATTAAACTCCTATTTATCACTTCACCGGTCCTCTCTTGTTCCACAAGTTTAAGAAGCGTGTCTTGAAGCCTCGTTTGGATTTTGTTGGAGTGGATAACATTGTCTCTCCACAGATTCATTCCGAGTTCATAAACCGGTGTTTTGCGGGTACTGGGAATGAAAGTCCTGTCCATGTACATTAGGATGTCACGAATCATTTGCAATGCCTTGTTATGATCTGCCCACTTCCTGTTCAGCTCTTCTAAAAACAAACCTCCCTGGGCAGCCTCTATTGACTTTGAAATATCTTTCAAATGTTTGGTCATAGTAAACACAAGGCCAGAGTAGAGCTTCTCTCCAAATTTATGTAGAACCATGTTGTATGCATTCCTGAAAAACGCCACACATTAAGACTATGTTTGGATCCCAAAATATGCTTGAGTTAGGGAGAACATGATAAAGAAATTTTCTTTCTTGTGTTTGGAGCTATGACACTGAAAATGAAATGTGATTAGTGTTTTTATTATTATTATTATAGTAATCCACATATGTTTAAATTTGAACGAATGATCTATTTTTTTCTTCTAATTTTTGCCTTATATGTTTCTGTCTAATTTCTCTCCCTGGCATTTTCCAAGTTCCAAATGGACCCTATGAAAAGAAAAGGATAGCAGAAAAATGCAAGCCAATAAACTCCATATTCAAGAAGTACTATATACTTTCTCTACTGAGAAACACCAAACTTTCTCAACCTTAAGGCTTAAGCATTGAAGGTCGGAATATTTAAAGATCATCTATAAACACTCAAATACATAACACTCTAACATAGACAGAACTCATACACAAGTTAAAACTTTCTCTATTCTAAACGACAACGAATACAACCCAATAACTCCCAAGAATGGGGTATGGGGTGGATGTATACAAACCTTAGTCCTAGCTCAAAAGGTTGTTACCCTGTTATAATAAAAATCATCGCTGAAAGGAAGTAAGCATTGTGCATCAAAGGAGAGAAGGATGTGAAGAATTATTGTTACTAAAACATGATGTTTCTACTTTATTAAGGAAACATGAGCTCAGCGTGAAGGTTGGCAAAAATATGAGCTGATAGCCAATCATAATATAAAGTTCCTCAGCTATATGATGCGAACAAATTAGAAAATCATCAACAATTGAAAAAAAACAAAACAAACAAATGATAGTTTAAACAAATAGATATTGCTTCCTTTATGGAAATTCTAGAATTATGACGCAAATATAAACGAATGAAGCAAGCTCATCCAAATACATTTAAGTACTCTCCGTTACCATTTCCAGTTCAAATTGTAGCAAAAATGGTAAGCATCCAGATTACGATTTCATACTCAACATCATCTAGTAGAAATCAGCATCTAATCTCTTAAAGGTCATGAAAACCGACGTTAATATCAAAACTGCAGCATATAGGAACCATTCTTCGCAATCATTTCTCATGTTCTCAGTGTAACATACAACAGAACATAAGGAAATGAGGGCTAAAAAGAGAACTAACATTAACCAATCAGGAAGCAAAAAAATAAGCACTCAAAAACTAAACCAAAGATCTAGCAACATCATATTTATGCAATCAGCACTCTAGAATATCAAAACCAGATGAAGATCAAAATACTCCATGATAAAAGCACACATCAATTTATACAGATGTGTAAAAATAATCAACACCAACCTGTAGAGCTCTTCAAAACTAAGGCCACTGGCGTTGTGGTTGTAAATCTCGTGAATCGCGTGCTCAATAATACTCCAGGTCTTCTCTGCATATTTCGGATCAACCACGACCCGATGCTTAAAGGCCTCAATCTGAAAGTTCCACTTCTTCGGCGCACTCATTTCTCGCCTAATCCGTCAGCAACTCCTCGTCCGCGCACTTAATTCGGAAACTCAAATCGAATCTCGAATACTTTCGATCTGATTCTAGGGTTTTTCTGCAAAAGAAATTAAGGGTTTCAAATGCGATGCGATAAACAATTAAAAACGATCTTCAAGATCGAATCCTAAATCTTCTTACTCGTGGACCGTTGTGCAAAGCAAAGCAGAAGAAGCTTCAAAGTTCAAAAACACCTAATTTGGGTTGAGAAATTCTTTTATGCAGCAAAAGATTGATGAATATGTCTCTTTCTTCTCCGTTCCTCTTTTCTCTTCTTTTCTTTCCTTTTCTTTTCTTTCTTTTTAATCTTTTTTTTTTGTGAACTATCCATTCTTTTAATGATTTCGGAGTATTATCTTCTATGAGTCCATACAAAAAAATCATGAATGAAAAAATGGAGCGTCTATTCTCGACCCTCCATATTTTGGCCGGTCAAAACAATGTGGATATAAATTATGATATAATTTTAATTATATTTTTAAAAAGAATTTTTCATGCCTATTCACGTAATAAGTTATCACATGAATAGAGTGCTTCCTTGATAGACTTAAAGTTCATGACATTTTTGTAAATCATATCTTATAAGTCTACCTAAGATGATCTTGACAAAAATATTTAATACTCCGCAAATCTTTAAGTTACTTATGGTACATTTCTATCTCAAAACTTCTTATAACCACCTGCTATGCCTATCTAAATTTTCCGCATAATTCATGATAAGTAATATCAATAAAATTGATGCATAAAATAAAAATGTAGGGTGTGTTTAGTAAGCAAGCAAGATATGAGTTTTTAATATATTTAGAAATCAAAATTCTTTTTTTGTGTTTGGTAAAGCCAAAAGAGATATTGAATTCGATATCTTCAGATATCATATATTCTCAAAATGAAGGGTTTCGATATCTCTCTAATTTGAGGGATATCAATATGGAGATTTGAATATCTCTCAACCGTTGATCATTATCCGCTACCGGCTATCATTGTCACCGCCAACCACCTCTCTTGTCGGTCACCCCCACTTATCACTAATTATATCATGCTTTTCAATCTCTTCAAACAACTTCGTTTCACATTTCGCACTCATATAATTTCTTCTAAATTTTACTCCACACATATCTTATCATATCTATAAAACTCACCAAACGGGTTTTGAATATGTTTATAATAGCGGCTCCACATGAAGTTATGCAAGTATTCTGTAATAATTTATGGCTATTAGGAATAATAGATGTATTAGGATGATATAGAATATTACTCCCTCCGTCTTAAAATATTCTTTCCAGTTACAATTCACATAGTTAAATTTTAATCACCTTATTTACTTATTTTACTTAGTTTCTTGATAAAGCTTTTGTTCTCATTTATTTTTTGTAACTATACATACTATAAATCATTAATATAGTTATAAACCACTACGAAAGTTACTCATGCAATGTTACCACGAAGCATTTTCACTCTATCCTTTCTCTCCCCTAACTCTCAATTCTTTCGAAATTTTTTCATCTTCTTTATCAAGGTTCTGTATATGTGATTCAATTAAGTTTAACTTCAAACGTTAAGAAACTATTTGAGGAAATTAAGCACAAAATGAAGTTCACAGGAACACCGGTTAGAAATTTGAAGATGAGTAACATGTTTTTTTCCTCTCATCTCCCAATCCTAATAGCAAAAATAGGGAGTAATATGAAAAAGTGACCTTGCACTACATGATCCAAGACCAATCGTCAGTTAACCTCCACAAATTTCAAAGGTAGAAGAAGAAGCATTAAAAAAGACCAACCAATTAAGATCATTGGCTACAAGTCTCTAAACACATGAGATTATGAAAAACAGCTACTGATCCATTTGGGAAAGATTGCTCAATCAATATTCAATACTCATCACCCTCATCTTCATCTTCTCCATCCCCAGTTTCTGCCCCAACTTCCTCATAATCCTTCTCAAGTGCAGCCAAGTCCTCTCTGGCTTCGGAGAACTCTCCTTCCTCCATCCCCTCACCCACATACCAATGAACAAACGCCCGCTTGCAGTACATCAGATCAAACTTTGTGTCAATCCTTGAGAACACCTCCGCGACGCTGGTTGAGTTTGAAATCATGCAAACGGCCCTCTGAACTTTGGCCAGATCACCGCCAGGAACCACCGTGGGCGGCTGGTAGTTGATCCCGCACTTGAAGCCGGTGGGGCACCAGTCGACGAACTGGATTGTCCTCTTCGTCTTGATGGTGGCAACCGCGGCGTTCACGTCCTTGGGGACGACGTCTCCTCTGTACATCAAGCAGCAGGCCATGTACTTGCCATGGCGGGGATCACACTTCACCATCATGGAAGATGGCTCAAAGGCCGTGTTTGTGATCTCTGCCACAGAGAGTTGCTCATGGTAGGCCTTTTCTGCAGAGATAACGGGCGCGTATGACGAAAGCATGAAGTGAATTCTTGGGTATGGGACTAGATTCGTCTGGAACTCATTCACGTCCACATTCAGAGCTCCATCGAAACGGAGAGACGCCGTGAGGGAAGAAATCACCTGGGAGATTAGCCTGTTGAGATTCGTGTAGGTTGGCCTCTCAATGTCCAGGGATTTACGGCAGATATCATAGATTGCTTCGTTATCAAGCAGGACGGCCACATCTGTGTGTTCGAGGAGGGAGTGAGTGGACAGAACAGAGTTGTATGGCTCAACCACGGCAGTAGAGACCTGAGGAGAGGGGTAAATGGTAAACCCTAGTTTCGATTTCTTTCCATAATCAACAGAAAGCCTCTCCAGGAGGAGAGAACCGAGGCCAGATCCAGTCCCACCGCCCACGGCGTGGAACACCAGAAACCCTTGCAGACCGGTGCAGTTATCTGCAAGCTTTCTTATCCTGTCCAGACAGATATCCACAATCTCCTTCCCAACTGTCCACACATTCATCATTCACAATCAAAATTTCATAAAACCAAACCAAAATCGCGCATGAAAACTCGTTCGATCTATACGTATGTAGGATACGCAGAGGCGGAGAAATCAAAGGGAAAGGGGAAACGTACTCGTGTAGTGTCCTCTGGCGAAATTATTGGCGGCGTCTTCTTTTCCGCTGATGAGTTGCTCCGGATGGAACAGCTGGCGATACGTTCCGGTTCTGACCTCGTCGATGACGGTAGGCTCCAGATCTACAAAAACGGCGCGAGGAACGTGCTTTCCGGCGCCGGTTTCACTGAAGAACGTGTTGAACGCGTCATCGCCTCCGCCGACGGTGTGGTCGCCGGGCATATGGCCATCAGGCTAAAATCACAATAAGATCCGACGGAAATTCAAAAAGGGGGGGAAATATAAACGGAAATAAATCAACATTTCAACGGATTTTCATCACCTTGAGGCCGTGCTCGAGGCAGTAAAGCTCCCAGCAGGAGTTTCCGACTTGGATTCCGGCCTGGCCGATGTGAATCGAGATGCATTCTCTCATCTTCTTCCGACGATCGACAGAAACTCAGGGAATTTTGGTTTTTATCTTCTGGATATTACAAATGGATTCTCTGGAGGGATGGGGAGAGAAATGGGGTTAAATAGGATTGGGGGTAATAGGGGTAAAAACGTCTTCCGGTTTTCGAGGGTTTGAAGGGCGATATGGTTCAAATTTGAAATTTGAAATTGGGGTTCCCGGTGGTGGCTGTGACCGTTGTGGTAAACCTATGAACGTACTCCCTCCGTCCAACTATATTTGTCCACTTTCATTTTTACACACCATCCAATGCACTTCTTTAATCCATTTTATCTTGTAATTTGTATATTAAAAAATTATAGAAATTATATATTAATAATCTATATGTTAAGACAAATCAAACAAGATCACACATGACTATATTTAGGCTTACACATTGAGAGATTTTGATGAGTCAAAGTGCTTAGATGAACAGTACCAAAAGTCAAATGTGGACAAATACAGGGGGACGGAGGTAGTATTAGGTTGGAGACTTGGGGGAGGAGAAAATAGAAATTGCTCAAACTAGTAATGTCGCGTTTGTTTGAAAGAAAAAATGAGTTCATTAAATATTATTTTTCGTATGATCTAATTTTATTTGATCAAATCTGATTCTAAAAAAATAATAATAAAAATATAATAACTCTAGAGTCACAAACAAAACAACCACAAAATGTATAAATTTATCATTTTTGTAATTGAATTTTTATTTTTTAAATATTTCAGACACTTAAACCATTATTATACGGAGTGTACATATTTGGTAAGTTTGTGCATTTGTGAATGTTTGGTCTATTACTCTAGCATTATTAAATGTGTATTGTTGCCTTTTATAGTTTCAATACTTACGATTTTGCTCTTTATAGTTCTGATATTGCTACGCGTAAGCCTTATTTAATTAAAATATCTTTCAAATACTAGGTGAAGAGTTCCATTGTCTCCTATGATCTTAGAAATAAGCACTAACGCTCTCTCTCTCTTTTTCTTTATTTTCTTTGTTCAACTATTTTTTTCATAAATGTTTTTTAACTTTCTTTTTTAAAATTGTTTTTATAATGTTTTAATAATTAATTTTTTTTGTGTTTGTAATAAAAATTAATTAAATAATTAGCATATACTTCATTTGTCTCAACTTAAATATTTTCATTTTTTGACAAAAAGAGTGTTTTATTGGTTTGTTTACATGATTCAAAAATTAATGAAATATTATCTTTTTACATTAAAGCTCATTTCTCATTTTTTGTTCATTTTCTGATTTCTTTATTTATTGTTTCCCTTTTTGATTTTTTTTTAAAATATTAATTTTATACCGCTCCTTTTATTTTAATCAAAGTTAAAGACTAATTCCATAAAAAGTCCCTAGTTATAAGTTGTTTTACATATTTAGTCCCTACATATTAAATATTACTAATTTAGTCTCCAATTATTATATTCATTTCCACAAATGGTCTTTTGTTAATATTTCCGTTAAGAACGTAGATAAAATTGTAAATTCACACTCCTTTCTCTCCTCAATTAAGCTTCCTCTCTCCCCTTGCACTCCTTTCCCAATCTCGTCGCTGAGTTTGAAGCTCTAAACCCAAAACTGAATTGATCATTCCTCTCACAATTATTAGTCTTCCTGGTAGAACCTAAAATCAAAACCAATAATCTTTATGATGAGTTTTATCGGTTAGTCTCAAAAAATTACAAAGAAAATAAATATTAAAACTCATCTATGAAGGATAACTTTGTTTCGGGCAATGGATGAAAACCGCATATTATTTTTCATTTTGGTACTAATCAGAATTGAACTAATTAACAAAATTATTGGAATTAAACTACTACGGAGAATTACAAATGTGATACTCATAATATTTGTAATGCAACATTGCTAATAATTCAATTTATTTTCAACCAAACATATACGGAGCATTTGCAAAATAAAATTCTTCTCAATTTCAACGCCTAAATGTTTAAGTCTCCATATGTTACAAATTACTTGTATGTTTGCAATGATTATTTGATAAAATATTATTATCACGTCTTATTTTATAGAACTTTTGATGTACTTTTTAAATATTCAAATTTAATTTTTTTTATATAAATATTTAAATTTTAGTTAATATTTTAAAGGTTCAGATTAACTTTGAACATGCTAAATGCTACCTGTAAATATCATTTTCATAACGTAAACACTAATCTCTAATGTTATTTCCAGACAGACTTTACGTCATTTTCATTTTTTCTTATGGAGATGGTATAAACTCTGCAGCCCCAAAAGTTATCGGGCCAACTGTTCGAGTCTCTGTACTAAAACACGTTGTTTCAAAAGTCCTTCATGTATTGGCCCAAAAGGCCCAGAGCAAGCATTTTACGTGGAGGCCCAACAATATCGATTGCAGAGCATTTCGAACCACTGTGTCTGGGGAGATGGATTCACGCACGTGGTGAAAAGAAAAATATGGAGTACACTCTACCGACTACATACATCATACTCCCTCCGTCCCAATTTATTTGCCACATTTGCTTTTTTAACAGTCGCGGGAATTTTTGTTTATTTCTACGTTTTCATTGGTTATTTGATAAAATAAAATATTCTTGACACCTCTTATTTCGAAGAACTTTTCATGTAGTTTTTTTATATGTAAATTTTATTTTTTATTTCTTTACCAATATGTAAATAAAATGAATTGAAAAAACTTGATATTTTGCCTCGGTAATAGAAATGTGACAAATAATTTGGGACGGAGGGAGTAAATCTTTATTTTTTTAAATGTTTCACTTAATATTTTATTCTTTTATTATTACTGGATGTGTTTATTTGTAAATTTACAAAAAGTTAGATTTGATGTTGTCCATAATAATTTTAGTCGGGATTCTAAAACACTAGCAGTAACAGTAACAAAATTGAGTAAATTACATAAAAAGTCTTTAGTTATAAGTTGTTTTACATATTTAGTTCTTACATATCAAATATTAATAGTTTAGTTTCCAATTACTATATTGTTTTCCATAAATAGATTTTTGATAACATTTCTGTTAAAAACATGGATAAAATTTTATATTCACACTCCTCTATCTCTTCAATTAAGCTTCCTCCTTTCTCTCGTACTCATTCCCAAAACTGAAACGATTACTTCTCTCTCAATTGTTCATGTTTCTAGTGGAAACTAAAATCGAAACCAATAACCTTCATGGATAAATTTTATGGGTTAGTCTCAGAAAATTGTAAAGAAAACAAACCTTAAAACTCATCCACGAAGGTTACTGGTTTCGATTTTAGATTCTAGCAAAAAGATGAATAATTGAGAGTTGAGAGAAGAGTGATGATTTCGGATTTGAGTTTAAAGCTTCAAACTCAGCAATGGATTTGGGAAAGGAATGCGAGAGGAGAGGAAATTTAATTGAGGAGAAGAGGAGCGTGAATTTACAATTTTATCCACGTTTTAATGGAAATGTTTACAAAGGATCATTCGTAAGCGCGAACCGGTTCGGTGGCCAGGTGGCAGTTGAGTGTGTCGTACGACCTGCCGGAGCGCGGAGGGCAAGGGATCCTGTTCGCTGACATCGTCGCGTACGAAATGTAATACCTGACTACTGGCCACAGCAGAGATCTATGGCTGCTGGATTCGTCTCCTTCCAGATCCACACTGTTTTCCCCGTTACCTCCTCTAATGTTAGCGTCGCTGCCGACCATTCGTGGAAAACAATATAATAATTAATAAATAAACTATTGATATTTGATATGTAGGGACTAAATAACCAAAACGAATTATAATTGGGGACCTTTTATGAAATTACTCAACAAAATTTTACCTTTAACCACAAAAGTCGTTTAGGATATTTTGCCCTATTATATACCAATGTTTTGAAAATGAGATAGGACATCAAACCAGATTAGCCACTGGGTCCAGAGTCAACAAGTCAAACTAAGTTGACATGAGTCAACAACTTGGTCAACGACTCATAGCTTGGTATATAATATTAATATTTATGTTTAGATAATAGAAATTTAAATAATACCATGTTTTGTGAACTATTGTATAAAATAATAAAATATTATCACATAACATAAATATGTCTATTATTTCTAAATAATAGGAAGCATATATATATATATACTTCTTCCGTCTAACTTTAATCTTTCCATTTGGAACGGACATACATATTAATGAAAGATGTAAATATCATTTTCAATGTTAAATAAAAATATTTAAATGCATATTTTTTCTTCTCAACGTTATTTCAATATCATTCTTCATATACTCTTTCACACTTTCTATATTTTATTACAATTAGTACATATTTATTCATTCTATATATGAAAGTATTTGTTTAGATATAAATTATTCTTTAGTATTTTAATATAATTTTTCTTACTTTGAAATATTTTAAAAATTTATAAAATAATTATACTACCAAAGCATGTACTTTTTTGAGCTTGGATTATCAAATATTCATTTTTATGTTTGTTGTTTCTTTGAGCTTGGATTATAAATACTCTGACAAAATCTTATAAAACTTGGCTGATAAAATATATAATTTACCTAAATAGGACTAAAACATAATGACTTTCTCAATATAAGACCATATGTTTTTATTTCCTAATGTAGGACCATTGGCCATTATCTATTAGTTATTATTCAACTAAATATCCAGCATCATTTGGACATTATTCTTCTCACTAGTCATTATTAAGTCCTATTTAGGGAATAAAAAAATTTAAATCCTACATTGAAAAATGACTTATGTTTTAGTCATATTCAATGCAAATTTCACTAAAATTTATCTAATTTGGTATAGATTAAAATAATCAATTAATTTTACATAATCAGTGAATTTTGAATAATCTTTTAAAATTTGAATTGAATCTTAATATTTATAACTATTCTATTTAGTAGTATTTACTCAAAATTTTGGGATTAGGTGATATTTTTCCGAAAAACAAAAATATTCCCAATCAAACTTCACAAAAAGCTCAATGCCAAATACGGAAATGTCGCTATAAAACTATAAATAATGTAACAAACCTACCCATTCATTTCATCCATTCATTCATTCCACTCGCTTCAAAGTTTCCCCACTCGTTGCAGTGTG